GCATGACCTGCTCTGGCACAGAGCGAGAACGAAAACATCAGGCACCGAGATGAGCCTCAAAAGCGTAGGAGAAGCACCTTGATGGGAGCTGCCTTCACTCCTGCCAGAGATAAATGATGGCACAAGAAGGCCTTAATACTTGCCACACTTGCAATGCATCTGTCCTGACATGTGAGCAAAACCATGGAAAGCATCTCACAAACAGCTACTGCTTGCACAGGCTGCAGGGGTGGTGAGACCCTGGCACAGAGAAGCTGTGGATTCTCCATCCACTTGTAAGTGTTCCAAGCCAGGTTGGATAGGGCTTAGAGCACCCTGGTCTAGTGGAAGGTGTCCTTGTCTATGGCATGGGGGTTAGAACTGGATGGTCTTTAAGGTCCCGTCCAACCCAGGCCATTCTCTGATTCTGTTTCTTTAAAATTACTTAGAAATGTACAAATACTGTAATGATGAAAAAAAAAAAAAAAATTACATTACCCAATGAGGTTACAAGATATGGAGCATCTCTGGTAATGAGAAGTCCATGTAAGTAAGAGACATGACTACAACTCATAAATAGCACTTGTCAATCTAAATTGGAAGGATTTAGTTACAAAGGAACTATTCCCAGTCCTCTCATTTTCATCAGTGGTCTAATCTCAATGGACTCAAAGGCAAAATTAAACTTTTAGTTGCATTATTTGGGTTTTGCATTAAAAGCAGTGTATTTGCTTGAAAGGAAACAAATTTGGTATAAAAATCTGTTTCTGCTTGTGAAGATTGATTGCAGCAGAGAACATGCAGTAACACTGATTCTCCAGATGAGCTTCTCTACCTCCTGAACTGATTTGCTTTCTCTTACTCACCTCAAAATGCCACTTACTGCTTGCGAGTTTTCAGGTTGTATTTATTTTTGCTAAAGTTAGGTTATCCTCTGGCACAGTTCATGTGTGAGATTTTGTTATAAGATGTGATTAAAAATGCTTTTGATGAATTAAGCATGGCTGCAGAGATATATTAGTAGGAAAATATTTTTTTTTCCTGTCCCATAGAGATCTCATCAGCTGGTTGTTTCTGCCAGTGCTGTAGTTCTTCATTCTTTGACAATGAGATTTTTAAAATGACCAAATATCCTATTACAAAGCTACCTAAAGGTAGATGCTTAAAAAACAAAATTAAAAAAAAGGAAAGAGGAGGAAAATTAGCAAAGCCCTAAGGTTAAATCTGGTCCATTCTTAACAGGAACCACAAATATTTTCCAGGCTTTACCTATTAACGTTTTCTTTCCTGAAATAATTCTCTTCATAATTGCACAGAAAAGACATGTTTTTGACCTAGCTATCTTTTCCAATGATATATTTTGAGGATATACTCCATTTTAACTACAAAAAATTGAAACATTTCTTTTTGAAAGGGGAGCAGTTCCTCCTTAAAAACCTGTGACTGTGCTGTTGATGATACTCTGTATTACATGACAATTATCCCACTCTCCTAGTGTTCTCCAGAGGAGCATTTTATCTGTGTACCACTCATAACCTTTCAATGCATGAGTACTTAGACCTCTTTCATAACTGTTGTGGTAACAAAAAAAAAAAAAAAAAAAAAAAAAAAA